TTTTTAAAAGTCTTTATGAAAAAAGTGGAGGATTTTATCACAGAAGTTAAATTGGCAGTTGTTCATTGAAGAATATGAATTCTGTGATTGGTGTAGGGATACTACAAGTTTGATGTTCAGTACTATGATCACATGAATGTATATTTTGGATGTTTCCTTCCAAGGGGGTTTTTATTATTTTTATGTGTGTTTCAACATTTCTCAAGAAAGTAGGCATGAAGAAAATGATAATGGCATTGTGCTTACCCTCCACCTAGTTTGGTTGAGACTAACTGGCCTTGTTGATAGGAAAGTTGTTATTAATATTTTGTAATTGCAGGTATGAAAATAAAAAAACAACATGTATATCACTTGGAGCACAAGCAATCAATCAATTAATGACAGGATATTGAAAGCAAAACTATAGTCATGCTCACATTCCTCATGTAAATAAGGCTAATAATCAGTCAGACCAAGATTCCCCTGATGATGCAACCAAAACTTATTGACCAACATCCTCATAAAGTAATATTCATATGAAATATTAGAGCATTTTACACTTATTGAACCATCAATCAAGCAACATGTGGGAAAATAATTACACCATTTTTTGAATAGTCATAACTTTGTGCAGAGAATATTCCATTGAAAGTTTTAATTGAGCAGTTTTATTTTATTTTTAAAAACAGTAACACAAATTCATGATTATACTTAATAATTAATATTAAAATCTGGACATCTGCACTATTGACACTAGCAAACGTAAATAAGTAAGTGTTATCAGAGCAATGTTAGAAATCACTAGTTCAAGCACTAGTTTAAAAAAAAAAAAAAAAAAGAAAGCAACAAACAGGTAGAGAAGAAGCATTATATGAGTAAGTGTTATAGAGCAATATTAGAAGCCATAGTCCAAGCTCTAGTTATTTTTGAAAAAAAAAATACATTATAATAAATGTTAATCATGGGTTTTTTCTTGTTAAAAAAAAAAATTAAAAAATCAACAAATCAGTAATAATGATAATATAGTTAAAAAAAAACTAATATTGTTATTAATCTGGTATTATATACAACTATTGAATCTGAACTTTATGAAGCTGGATCAGAAAAGATCCTTGCAAAGAAAACAAGAGCTCAAGAATGGGATGATATTGACCTCACGTAATGCATGATCCTATGATGGATGTGGTAGATATTTGAAAGTTTTAAGAGTATAATTTATCTATTTTTCCTGGAGGAAGGTTAAATAATAATAATATTATTATTATTAATCATATATTAAAGGATAATAATTTCTCTTCACATCATGTGATTAATAGAATGAAACAATGCCAAAATATAATTATATGGAAAACCAACCAAAATTAAAGGGCAACTCTTGTTGACTAACTTGTTGAAGTTCATTATAAATTTCGTTTATTACATTCTTAACAGTCAAAAAACTTCTAGGCATTACTGCACTTTTTATTTTTGCCAAATATGAAGATGTTAAGGCTCCATCCATCAGTAATTACATTATTTTTGAAAATGGCTACATAAAAGATGAAACTCTCAATGCAGAACAACATTTACTACAAACTATTGATTATAAGTTGAATTACCTCAACCCAATGAATTTCTTTAAATGCAACTCAAAAGCTGACCAATATAATATTCAGGATCATGTCATTGTCAAATATCTAACAGAGACCACTCTTGTTGACCATGCCTTTTTAACTTGTACTTCCTCGATTACTGCTGCGGCTTCATTGTGTAATGCTTAATAGGTTGGTGTTTTGAATTGGAATCGGGAATTGGAATGAAATGTATAAGATTTGACAATTTGGAAATAATTAATTTATTAATATTTATTATCTATTATTATTAATTTAGAATGCAAACCTGATTCATTATTTCACATTTACAGAAGAGCAAATTATACCTTGTGCAAAATGATTTTAGTAAGAAGATATTATCAATCATACTTATATTGTTATTTCATCAGGTATTGTAAAATCAAGTGTGTTTCTAAAATTTGTAAGAAAATAGATTATGAAAAACAGATCAACTACAATTATGATATCAACAACAACAACTGTCAGTTTTCATCTCATCTTCAAATAATTGCAATTGATTTTTATTTTTTGCTACTATTTGTTGCTGCATTCTATTTTAAGTGCTGATGTTTTGCTCTATTATAAAAAATCAGAAATCATAATTATCAATAATCTTGTTATTTATTTTAATTTACAATAATAATAATAATAATAATAATAATAATAATAATAATAATAATAACAATAATAATAATTAAAATATCTTAAAATTATCAATAGGAACAAGTTCAGGAAAGAATGACAATATATCTTCAATCTTAAGTATATCTACTCATTTGTAATTTATTCCTTTTATTAAATAAAGTGCTGAAGATATTAGATTAAAATGTCTCTATTTATTTAAAACGTTATATATTTATATTCAGGACGCACACAAAAAATTGCTGATGGATAAATAAATTCATTTATCATGCGAACATGATATCCAATCATTTTTTTGTCAGAAAATTTTTTTGTAAGAGCCCTTTTTATGTCAAAATGCTTTTCATAATATTACTATGGTATTTATTTTCAGGTGGCAAAAACATCTTAATTACAAGATATAACCAAAATCATCACAAGATGTAGTAACACATGATAACTGACTACCATAATAGGAGGATTGATAGATGCAGTTTCTCTGCCCAAAATAGATCAATTAACGAATGATTTGGTTGACGTTGCATCTGAATGTACACTTTGTGGTGACGATGATCTGATGATTAAATAGTTGAACAAACTTTTATTAATGACAAAGAAGGTATTTATTTCATCCCCCCTAAAACAAATAGAGTCATTACTACAGGGCCATTATTAGAGGCCCTGTCTGTCCTTTTTCCCTTCTATGGTTTAGATTAGTTTAAATACCAAATCTTGACAATTTTCTCTTATTATATGTTTTAAGTTGGATTTGCATATTTGCAATTTTTGTAATTTTTGTTATTAAAAAATATATATGATGGTAATAATGATATATGATTTATTATTTATTTTCTAAATTTGAATTTTTCTTAATATTACATCATACAATGAATCAATTAGTTTTTTGTTTGTTTGAAGAAGTGGTGGTGGTAATGGTTTTGAAGACAATGACAAAGAAGAAGATGTTGATGATGAAGAAGTAGGTGGTGTATATGGTGATTTTATTGGTATTGCAAAACCTATTGCTTTAGCATGTTTCATCAAATTTGTTGTGCTCATACTTTTCTTTGGTTGCTTTTTATTTTCTTGATTGTTATTGTGCTGACTGTTATGTGATGATGAATGATTAATAATAGATAAAGATGATAAAATTGGATTGGCATGCTTATCATTACTTTTGTCTGATGATGATAAAGAAGATCGTGGATCCATAGAGATTGGTCTCTGGCTATTTCTGAATTTGGAACCACTAGATAATATTCTTCTTTTATTTCTTTGAGATAGTTCTGGAAAAGGTTGTTGTAGTGTAGTAGAGGTTGTTCCACCAATTGATAGTATCATATCATCATCATCATCATCATCATTATTTTCTAATGATGACAATGATGATGACAATGAAGAAGATTCAAAAGATGCTGGTATTTTTTCTTCTTCATTTTCATTTTCATTATAATTACAATTACTTGGTAAAAATGATTCATTATTATTAGTAGAGGAATTAGAGGAATCAGAATTGGAAGAATTTGTGATTGTCTTTTGATGATCCAAGTCATTATTATCAATATTGTTATTATCAATATCATTATTATTATCAATATCGATATCAATGTCATTATTGTTGTTGTTGTTGTTGTTGTTGTTGTTGTTGTTGTTGTTATTGTTATTATTATTATTATTTATTGATGATAATCGTTGTTGTTGTTGCTGTTGTTGTTGTATAGTGATATTATTACTAGCATGATTGCTAACATTATTACTAGCAATGTTATTGCTATCATTATTGCTATCAACATTATTACTGCTACTATTACTACCAATATTGTCATTACTATAAATTCCAATCCTGTCTAAATTATTGTTGCTCTTATTATTACTATTATCAATGGCAAGATTTCCACTAGTAAACACATCAAATAATTTAGTTCTTATCATTTTATATTCATTATCAGATATAAGAGATTTTTCAAATGCATTGTTTAATTCCGTTAAGCGTTCTGTTAAAGGAAAATTCATTTTTTTTGAAACGAGAAAAAAAAAATAATAAAAATAATAATCGAGTGAAATGATCGTATTTTTATTATTATTATTATTACGATGCAGTTGTATAGTTTATTATTAAATTAAATTTAGTAAAACAAATAATTACCCATATTTATATGTGATTATTGGGCCGCCTTTTCTTTTCATATGGAAATTGATTTAATCACGTGATACACATATAAGGGGTATTTGTTTATTTAATACATAGTATTAAAAAAATAACTTTTATTTTTCCGATCCTTCTTTATCTTAAAACTTTTACTCCCATGAACTTTTTTCTCATTTCCATAGAACGCAGCAAAGCTCTTGTCTAAAAACTTTTTACAAGAACTCATCTATAGCTATGGCCTTTTCAAGGGAAATGCCTTTCCAATCAAAGAAAATTTTCGAAGAAAAATTTAACTAGTACTAGTAAATGTAACATTTGCATCAAAGGTTTTTTTTGATATACAATAAATAATACGTCATTCATTACATATTTTCCATTTTGAGATGCAAACAATGATAACAATGATAGCACATTACAGCTGTTTCCAACAAATCTAAAATATCCGTGAATTTAGTTTTGGAAAAATGTGGTTAATTTGTTCATAACACATACTCTACATTAAATGCTTAAATTAAATTGAAACTATAATAGGAATAGTGTAGAATTTTTCACTATATGGAACAGGAATGGATCAACTGGGCTCATAGGTGTCTGGAGTCAGCACATCTTCCAATTCACAACTTTTTGAAAGAGTTCTTTTTTGGTGATTCTATATATAAACATATATAACTACAATATAGTTATATTTACTTTACATTGAATTATAATTGTATTTTCTCTAAAACTAGGATGAGATTGTAATTTTATATGTATGATTTTTGCACTTTCTTGGTATGATTTAGAGTTGTTATAAACTGGTTTAGAAAATGAGCCCGAATTCCTAAACTGTTCAAAACTCCTAAACTGTTTCGAAACTTCTAAAATCCCAAACATTTTTAATCTTTATTTTTTATTTTTACTTATTAAAAAACAACCAAATACTATTATTATCACTATTAATAAAATTTTTAAAAATAATAATTTTTGCATATTTGGTAAAGTGAAATTTCAGGAATTGCAAATATTTCTGGATACCACAAATCACAAAAGCCTTTAAAATTGAATGATCTACAATATCTCATATTTATCCCAAAAATTAGCAAGTGATTGTGTATTTGCTTTATATGCTTCATTTTCTAAAGATTCACTTACACCATCTCTTTCTGCAACAATACACATATATCTTTTTTGATATCTTCTTTAATATATGTGCCAAATGGACTTGCAATTTATTAAAAAACTCTATTACCACAATTCACAATTATATGCTTTGCATTTGGTTCCAAAATGTTCTGGATGTTTTGAAGGATAACATTCAAAATGTTGCCAAACTGCATTTTTTGGCCGCCACCATATTTTTTGAATTTTATGAACTATTTATATCTACATCAGTATTGTTTATGATTAAAAAAAATTTATATTTTTAAAAAAGAGAAAAATTTATATTAGAACAAATAAGATTTATTTTGATTTAAACTAAACCAATGATTTAATTAATTTATTGTCAGGACAATAATATCAAAGTAAAAGGTAACTTTTGATAAAAACGTTGGTCACTTGAAGAGAAAATGATTTTGATAATCATGGTACTGTAAAATAGTAATAGTGATTTTATGGATCACGGAAAATTATAAATAAATCGGAAATGATTTACGAAAAGAAACCCGTCCAATTTCATATTATCACTTAATCACTGTAATAACCAAATCAATATTTCTAAAATTAAAAAAAAAAGGAATATCTTTTTCATCATCTTTTAATGAATGTTCCCCGATCTTAATATATGATATTTAAAATGATAATGATCAGTGGTTGAAAAGTATATTTAAAGAATGTATTTCTGACATGAAAACATTAAAATATAATTTTTAACTTCTGGTATTTGGAAACTTTGGTTTTAATATGAAATTGTATTTCTTGAGATATTAATGTTAACACATAGAAGGTGATTAAAAAGTTTATAAGGAATTCATTTCATGTGATAATGAAGGAATGTCATTGGAAATCTTTGGGCTTAATTATTTTGTTATTGAATTAAAAATAATTAGGAGTAATATTTGATGTTATGAAGTTAAAAGGAAATTTTCACCACTTTTTCATATTAATGTCTAAAAAATCAAAACAATAATACTGCAATACAACTCTTGTTTTAATGGATTATAATTAAATTCACGTTTCAAAATTCTTTGTTACACATTAACATTATTATTGTTGTTGTTATTATTATTATTATTATTATTAGAAAACATAAAAATCCGTTGAAACGCGATTATAATTAGTAATTTCGTTTCAACGAATTTTAAATGAAATTTTCTTATATGTCCAGCCACCCCGTTGAAACGAGGGCTATACTGTACGATGGATGTTGTTTTTGTTCTTTAAGAAGCTCCCAAATTGGTAAAAGATAATCTTAAGAAAATATTGAAATTGCTTGTTGTCACTAAAGCTCCGAACGGTTCGGTTCGGTTTTTCGGTTTACATTTGAACCAAAAATTTCAAGTATCCTAAATTCGTTAACTATGCAAAAATAAACATAACATAATAACTTATAATGACTTGTGGCTGAATGTGTGTTGCGAAGTAAAAATGCTGGAAGGATCCTGTTTCTATATACATGAAGTTATAAAGGATTTTAGACATTTAAAAATCCGTTATAATAATAACAAATTTATTAGTCATGTTATAACGGATTTCAAAAATGTCAAAAGTCGTTATAACATGTATTTAATTAGGTTACATTTCGTTATAACGAGGTTCGACTATAGTAACGAAGATCCATTTACAAATTAAAATTATTTATTTATTAAAACAAATTCATTGCCGCAAACCAGCTTTTTTAAACAATACAAATTCTTATTGTTTTAGGCTCTAAACTACATCGCCTTTGTTTAATTAAGTCCATGCCCCCAGAGAAAACCCGTTCATATAATAATAATAATGGACTTCCCTGATTCTTTTTTTATAATTAATTTTTCTCTCTACATTCAGAACTCAACAAGACGATGCTTTGATAAAATAAATACACATGATAAACCAATTTTTTTTATTATCTACTTATTAAAAATCATCTCTATAAGCCGATTTTATTAAGTTTTTTTAAAACTGAAGATTTTTTTGTGACTTCGGTTTAACTAGAGCTGATGTATAACAAACATCTTCTATAACAAACAAAGGTGAAAATTCATTGTAGAGAGAGTGAACTTTTCATAATATAAATATGAAGATCTAGCCAAACCGAAACCGAACCGAACTGAAACCGAACCGTTCGGAGCTTTACCTCTTCAACTTCTTCACTATTATAAATATGTGAACTATTATCAGGTGAATTATTATCAAGAGAATTATGTAATTCATTCATGAAGAAATCAATAACTAACGGTAAAATTGAAGGAGAGGAATTAATTATTAATTATTATTATTTATTTTTTTATTTTTATTTTTTTGATTATATTATATACTTATATTAATATATATTAACATATATTAATATATTTTATTTATTATCGGAAAAAAAAATTTTTTTTTGTGTTCAATAATAATTTAAAAATCGAAACCAAACCGAAATTTTTCGAATTGGTTTTTTAAAAACCGAAACCGAACCGTTCGGAGCTTTAGTTGTCACATATAATAGTATGTATATCCGATGAAAATAATACTAATAGTGGTGATGTTTATGTGAAGATTTGAGCACACCAATAAAAAATGGAAACTAATAATATTATTCAAAAATAATTTTAAAAATAAAAAATATATTCAACTTAAAAAAAAATCATTAGTGACATTAACCCTTGAGATTTCTTTCTACTTTATCTCTGATTTTTGTTGCAGTATAAAAATCACATGATTTTAAAAGCTTAAATAAATATTTTTTTACTAATACCAATTCTTTAAAAAATGGGCATGCATTATTATTATACTAATACTAAAATGGTTTCGTGTGTTCAGGGTTCTTAGTACACATTACACCAATTTTAGTTTTGTAATTAAAAAAGGAAATTTATGTCATCATCTTTAAAGCACCTATCAATCTTTATAAATTATATCCATAGAATAAAATAATTATGTTTTATGGTGCAGGACATCTATAGCAGTCAATTATTATCACATGACTTAAAAGCTTATAACTCTTTAAAAAAGGAAAAGAAGTAAACCGACGATAAAATTAAAGCTGATGGTTGGCTTAAAAAATTTTTGTGATACGAAAAATTTTTCCAATAAAAGAGATATGATTACTTGAATTAGAAAAAATTTTAAATTTCGGAACCATAGTTTTTAATTATGGGTTACACATATCAAAAAATCGGATGATTTTTAGATGTGCAACAAATCACTAACTATAGGGAAATAAATGATCGAAAGTTTTTGACATGATTTAATTATAAATAAATTTAAAGATTTTATTTAATAATAATTCAATAATTAAATTATTTAAAAATGAATTCAACAATTGTAAATGAAAACAATCATTTAAATTTTGCAGAGAAATGTTGGAAGGGATGGTTTGATTATTTCGAGGATGAATTATTTGCAACAGCTTTAATTTCATTTATAATGCATGAGGTTGTATATTTTGGTCGATGTGCACCTTATTGGATAGCAGATTTTATTCCATTTTTTCATAAATATAAATTACAACCTGTAAGTTTATAATTATCATCATCTATAAAATGTATATCCTTCCAAAAATTTTCTCTTTTTCCTATGTTTCTTCATATTCTAATTTTATTATTATTGTTATCTTTGAGATAGAATAAAATCAATACAGTTTCAGAACATTGGCAATGTTTGAAGAGTGTTTTGATAGTACATATTTTTTTTGATTTACCTTTGATTTTTTCATTTCATCCAATTGCAACATTTTTTGGATTGGATGTAACAGTTGTACCTTTTCCTCATTGGCAAAAAATGGCATATCAAGTTGCTATTTTTTTTGTATTTGAGGACACTTTTCACTATTGGTTCCATCGTCTTTTACATTATGGTTCATTTTACAAATATATTCATAAACAACATCATGAATATTCTGCACCTTTTGGCTTAGTAAGTAGAGATGTGGTTTTTTTAGGAGTTAAATTTTTTATTTATTTACTTGCTGATTAATTGATTAATTGATTAATTGATTTAGACAGCAGAATATGCGCATCCTATAGAAGTAATGATTTTAGGTACTGGTACAATTGGTGGTCCACTTATATGGGTCTCAATAACTCATGACCTTCACCTAGTCACTATGTTCATCTGGATCACCTTACGGTTATTGCAAGCAATAGATGCACATTCTGGCTATGGTAAACATAATCATATATTTGTTTCTTTTAAAATAAATTAATAAATTTTACTAATTTATATGCATAAACAGATTTTCCATGGTCACTTCGAAATTTCCTTCCTTTCTGGGCAGGTTCAGAACATCACGATTATCATCATATGGCATTTGTCAATTGCTTCTCAACATCATTCAGATGGTGGGATTATTTAATGGGAACTGATCTAAAATATAGGGCTTATAAAAAGAAACGATTAGAAGAAGAAATGAAAGATAAGGTTGTTACATCTTCCATCACCACCACCACTTCTTCAAACAAACAAAAAACTAATTGATTCATTGTATGATGTAATATTAAGAAAAATTCAAATTTAGAAAATAAATAATAAATCATATATCATTATTACCATCATATATATTTTTTAATAACAAAAATTACAAAAATTGCAAATATGCAAATCCAACTTAAAACATATAATAAGAGAAAATTGTCAAGATTTGGTATTTAAACTAATCTAAACCATAGAAGGGAAAAAGGACAGACAGGGCCTCTAATAATGGCCCTGTAGTAATGACTCTATTTGTTTTAGGGGGGATGAAATAAATACCTTCTTTGTCATTAATAAAAGTTTGTTCAACTATTTAATCATCAGATCATCGTCACCACAAAGTGTACATTCAGATGCAACGTCAACCAAATCATTCGTTAATTGATCTATTTTGGGCAGAGAAACTGCATCTATCAATCCTCCTATTATGGTAGTCAGTTATCATGTGTTACTACATCTTGTGATGATTTTGGTTATATCTTGTAATTAAGATGTTTTTGCCACCTGAAAATAAATACCATAGTAATATTATGAAAAGCATTTTGACATAAAAAGGGCTCTTACAAAAAAATTTTCTGACAAAAAAATGATTGGATATCATGTTCGCATGATAAATGAATTTATTTATCCATCAGCAATTTTTTGTGTGCGTCCTGAATATAAATATATAACGTTTTAAATAAATAGAGACATTTTAATCTAATATCTTCAGCACTTTATTTAATAAAAGGAATAAATTACAAATGAGTAGATATACTTAAGATTGAAGATATATTGTCATTCTTTCCTGAACTTGTTCCTATTGATAATTTTAAGATATTTTAATTATTATTATTGTTATTATTATTATTATTATTATTATTATTATTATTATTATTATTATTGTAAATTAAAATAAATAACAAGATTATTGATAATTATGATTTCTGATTTTTTATAATAGAGCAAAACATCAGCACTTAAAATAGAATGCAGCAACAAATAGTAGCAAAAAATAAAAATCAATTGCAATTATTTGAAGATGAGATGAAAACTGACAGTTGTTGTTGTTGATATCATAATTGTAGTTGATCTGTTTTTCATAATCTATTTTCTTACAAATTTTAGAAACACACTTGATTTTACAATACCTGATGAAATAACAATATAAGTATGATTGATAATATCTTCTTACTAAAATCATTTTGCACAAGGTATAATTTGCTCTTCTGTAAATGTGAAATAATGAATCAGGTTTGCATTCTAAATTAATAATAATAGATAATAAATATTAATAAATTAATTATTTCCAAATTGTCAAATCTTATACATTTCATTCCAATTCCCGATTCCAATTCAAAACACCAACCTATTAAGCATTACACAATGAAGCCGCAGCAGTAATCGAGGAAGTACAAGTTAAAAAGGCATGGTCAACAAGAGTGGTCTCTGTTAGATATTTGACAATGACATGATCCTGAATATTATATTGGTCAGCTTTTGAGTTGCATTTAAAGAAATTCATTGGGTTGAGGTAATTCAACTTATAATCAATAGTTTGTAGTAAATGTTGTTCTGCATTGAGAGTTTCATCTTTTATGTAGCCATTTTCAAAAATAATGTAATTACTGATGGATGGAGCCTTAACATCTTCATATTTGGCAAAAATAAAAAGTGCAGTAATGCCTAGAAGTTTTTTGACTGTTAAGAATGTAATAAACGAAATTTATAATGAACTTCAACAAGTTAGTCAACAAGAGTTGCCCTTTAATTTTGGTTGGTTTTCCATATAATTATATTTTGGCATTGTTTCATTCTATTAATCACATGATGTGAAGAGAAATTATTATCCTTTAATATATGATTAATAATAATAATATTATTATTATTTAACCTTCCTCCAGGAAAAATAGATAAATTATACTCTTAAAACTTTCAAATATCTACCACATCCATCATAGGATCATGCATTACGTGAGGTCAATATCATCCCATTCTTGAGCTCTTGTTTTCTTTGCAAGGATCTTTTCTGATCCAGCTTCATAAAGTTCAGATTCAATAGTTGTATATAATACCAGATTAATAACAATATTAGTTTTTTTTTAACTATATTATCATTATTACTGATTTGTTGATTTTTTAATTTTTTTTTAACAAGAAAAAACCCATGATTAACATTTATTATAATGTATTTTTTTTTTCAAAAATAACTAGAGCTTGGACTATGGCTTCTAATATTGCTCTATAACACTTACTCATATAATGCTTCTTCTCTACCTGTTTGTTGCTTTCTTTTTTTTTTTTTTTTTTAAACTAGTGCTTGAACTAGTGATTTCTAACATTGCTCTGATAACACTTACTTATTTACGTTTGCTAGTGTCAATAGTGCAGATGTCCAGATTTTAATATTAATTATTAAGTATAATCATGAATTTGTGTTACTGTTTTTAAAAATAAAATAAAACTGCTCAATTAAAACTTTCAATGGAATATTCTCTGCACAAAGTTATGACTATTCAAAAAATGGTGTAATTATTTTCCCACATGTTGCTTGATTGATGGTTCAATAAGTGTAAAATGCTCTAATATTTCATATGAATATTACTTTATGAGGATGTTGGTCAATAAGTTTTGGTTGCATCATCAGGGGAATCTTGGTCTGACTGATTATTAGCCTTATTTACATGAGGAATGTGAGCATGACTATAGTTTTGCTTTCAATATCCTGTCATTAATTGATTGATTGCTTGTGCTCCAAGTGATATACATGTTGTTTTTTTATTTTCATACCTGCAATTACAAAATATTAATAACAACTTTCCTATCAACAAGGCCAGTTAGTCTCAACCAAACTAGGTGGAGGGTAAGCACAATGCCATTATCATTTTCTTCATGCCTACTTTCTTGAGAAATGTTGAAACACACATAAAAATAATAAAAACCCCCTTGGAAGGAAACATCCAAAATATACATTCATGTGATCATAGTACTGAACATCAAACTTGTAGTATCCCTACACCAATCACAGAATTCATATTCTTCAATGAACAACTGCCAATTTAACTTCTGTGATAAAATCCTCCACTTTTTTCATAAAGACTTTTAAAAATTTTCACATAGTCTGCATAGTAAGTGGATAATTAACTAATTATAATATAATAAATTGATTTGTTAATAATAATATCTTATATAACATTGTCAGCATTTAGTAATTAATATGTTCCAAATGAATCCTAATAACAATATTAAATAAAATTTGAAAATCCAATCAATTTTAATTTTAGAAATCAAGATTCCTTAGATATTGTATTCAAAATCCACCAGTTAGTTCATTCCTTGGATTTTGTAGTCAAATATATTTGCCACACTATAATGTAATTAACTGAAGATTTTGCATAATTTATGAATATGAGATCGCCAATTTAATTTCTAAACATGCGGTTGCGCGGAATTTAGTAATTGAATTTAGTAATCTCTCGCAAAAAATAAAGTAATTGAATTTAGTAATGTCATGCGAAAAACAAAGCAATTGAATTTAGTGATATCTCGCAAAAAAATAAAGTAATTGAATTAGTAATGTCACGCGAAAAACAAAGTAATTGAATTTAGTAAGGTGTCACAAAAAATAAAGCAATTGAATTCAGTAACAAAGGTTTATAATTAAAGTGTGGCGTTTTGTCATTCTACAATTAAAAACGGTTAATTATTAATTAATTTTCTTTACTATTACGATTATTATAATGATGTTTATCCTTTCCATTTATCTTCGATACGCGCCCAAAAGCGAATAACCGTTTGCATTTTTTTATTTGTTGTTTGATTGTTGTTACATTATTCACTTTATGTATGATATACACAGCCCATTCACGATCAACAATCAATTTCTTGTTAATTAACATTAAATCGAACATTTAAAAGATCCATTTATTTGTGATTGCGAAGAATAATCAAAATTCTAAAATAACCGGTTTACTATAAATTTTTTATAAATTCCTCAACTGCATACAATTTGAAAAAAAAAAACCAAAAATCGTTAAGAATTAACTGAACAAATCAAAATGAAATTCAATATTTCTCTTCTCTTCTTGGCCATCTTTGCTGTTGCTGCTTTAGCAAGTCCAATGGGCGATAACAATAATTTAGAGAAGCGAGGTATTTCATTTATTATTATATTACTATTACAATAAACATCATTATAGCCAAATATCATTGTTTTTGAAAAAATACTAACTATTAGGTTTCATTTGATTTTAAATAATAAATAGTTCCGTAAGTATTTTTGTACTATTATTACAGTCAATATCATTGTTTTTGAAAAAATATTTATTAATTATTGATTTTCATTTTATTTTAAATAATAAATAGATTGGTAAGTTGCTATTATTACAGTCAATATCATTGTTTTTGATTCAATATCATTGTTTTTGAAAACATATTAACTATTAATTTTTATTTTTTTTTAAATAATGAATAGAAAGTAAGTATTTTCATCATTGCACTATCATTACAGTCAATATCATTATTTTTGCATTAAACAATTTACAGCTCTCTCTTTAAGACAATAATTTAAATTTCCCAATGGAAACTAGTAAAGCATCAACAAATAATTCATAATAACATTCATACTTGCCCAATGTAAATTGAGGAATGTCTACTAATGATGAAATATCATTTATTCCAAATGTTCGCAAAACTTTACTCAATGACTTGTAAGATGAAAAATCTTGTTGAGCTAGAAGAAAAGTCTCTATTAAG